GAGCCGGCCCCCCGCCTGTCCACGGCGCGTGTTTGCAGACTCCGGGACTCGCCCGGCTCAGCTCCCTGCACCGTAGTGACCCGGCCAGGGAGGGTGGGCAGCGCAGCCTGGCCTGCTTGTGTCCTGGCTCAAGGTTGTAGCAGATCTGAAGCCTCCTGTGGGCAGGGTGTTGGGGTTCATTTGACCTACAGCTTTTTCTCAGGGTTGTCCCCCGCCTGTCCACGGCGCGTGTTTGCAGACTCCGGGACTCGCCCGGCTCAGCTCCCTGCACCGTAGTGACCCGGCCAGGGAGGGTGGGCAGCGCAGCCTGGCCTGCTTGTGTCCTGGCTCAAGGTTGTAGCAGATCTGAAGCCTCCTGTGGGCAGGGTGTTGGGGTTCATTTGACCTACAGCTTTTTCTCAGGGTTGTACCCTGCACGTAGATGTGGTTGACGCCACGTGCTATCTGCCTTCACACCCACATAGTTCTTAGCCATAGACTCATAAAAGATAAGGGTTGGAAAAGGCTGTCATAGAGTCCAACCCCCTGCTCAAAGGAGGACCAACCCCAACTAAATCCCATGTGAGTTTCAGCCTTATGTGCAAGCAGAGCGGTGCCAGTTCCCAGGCCCTAGCTGAGTTCTAAAGTAGTTCCTCTACTTTGCAGATCATCCCCCGCAACCTGTTTACCCAGCCCTGTCTTGCATTCTGTGGGAGGGCACCCCACAGTGCATTGCTTGGGAAACATACAACCTGTCCTGCTGCCTGCCCCAGGCACCAGCAGATGAGGCAGGTGAGCAGAGCTGCCTCCTTTTCCACAGAAGTCATTGCTTACAAATAATGTTATGTAACATGTTAAGTGTGGACTGAAAAACATGATTGGCTGGCGAAAATATGTGTGTGAGCTGACCTAAGTCAGGGAATGAGAGTAGTCCCCCAAGGGTCAGTCCTGGGACCAATCCTTTTCAACTTATTCATAAATGATCTGGAGAAAGGGGTAAGCAGTGAGGTGGTAAAGTTTGCGGATGATACCAAACTGTTTAGGATAGTTAAGACAGAAGCAGACTGTGAGGGACTCCAAAAAGATCTCACCAAACTGAATGATTGGGCAACTAAATGGCAAATGAAATGTAATGTGGATAAGTATAAAGTAATGCACATTGGGAAAAATAACCCCAACTATAGGTACGATGGGGGCTGATTTTGCTATGACAAATCAGGAAAGAGATCTTGGAGTTATCGTGGGTAGTTTTCTGAAAACTTCCACACAGTGTGCAGCGGCGGTCAAAAAGACAAATAGGATGCTAGGAATTATTAAGAAAGGGATAGAAAATAAGACACAGAATATCTTACTGCCCCTGTATAAAACTACGGTACGCCCACATCTTGAATACTCTTCCCCACCCCTCCAATTTTTTTCCTCCCCCACCCCTTTCCCTTATTTATTCTTGGTTCTGGACTTCCAGCACTCCAGTCATCTAAAGAAGTGGGCTGTGCCCACGAAAGCTCGTGACATGTTTTGTTAGTCTTTAAAGTGCTACCAGACTACTTGTTGTTTTTTAAGCTTTTCTTGGAAACCAGTTAGCTTGCTCTTGCTGGGGGGATTTCCAACCTTGCCTGCTTTTCTCTCCTGTGGAATCTGCCTCTGATGTGCTGAAGAACTTGTGACCTGTAGCAGGGCCTTTTTCTGTAACATCGGGAATGCTTTCCATTGGAGTCACCTGCCACCCTTCAGTCTTGCTCAGCTGTGTCTCATAAGCTGTACCAATAATAGGCTAGTCAGACCTGAGTGTCAAGACTGAAGTGTGGTTTGGGCTTCATTTAAGACTAGAAGGTGAGGCCTGTCGCTGACGGGTCAAAGTCATTTTGCATAGATTACACTTATAGGAAAGTTCAAGAAATTAAATATATGTCATAGAATTTTTTATTAATGTGCTTACAAAAGGGAAGTAAAAGAACAGTTTTAAATTTGTAGGATTTCAACTTCAAGCATTATTCTTTTTATTAAGTAATTATCATATATTATAAATTTGAATCAGAAACTCTTAGTGAAGAAAATTAACTGATGTCAGTTAAAGCTTGCTGATATAAAATGTTTGTGGTTTTTCAATCTTTTGCTAAAATCAACAGATGTTTTTCCTTTTCACACTCAAGATGTTGCTACATAAAGTTGTCGGGTGTGCAAAACAATCTCAAAACAATGTTGGTCAAAATAAATATTAGAAATAAATTGAAATAAAAAATGAAGCAAAATAAATTGCTGGTGCATAAAATTTTTTGGACAATGATAGCAAGCAATCAATTTTGATTCTTTATAATATTTATGGTATTAGCAGGTAATATGTGAATACATTCTTAAAACGTAAATAACAAAACAAATATGAACGCCAAAAAAGGTAACTCCTATCAAGTAAAGCCAAGCTCTCATCCTTTCACACCACTAGCCTTTGTAAGATACTTCGCATCTTTTGCCCGAAAACATTCTCCAACCACGACCTGCTCCTGTGATGCCACCAGGAGGACATGGCCACTATGATTATGAGAAGACGCTGGAGATGGATGAGAAGGGAGGCAGACACCATCGTAAAGGTAGCACTTCACTGGACGCCTGAAGGATGACGGAAACGTGGGAGGCCCAAGACAACATGGCAGCGCACTGTTGCGGCAGACATGAAGAGAATGCATTACAACTGGGGCACACTGGAGAAAATGGCCAAAGACAAACAAAAATGGAGAACCTTCATTGCTGCCCTACATGCCAGCGGACGTAATAGGCATTAAATAACTAACTATCAAATAAAGCTTCCGTTACTGTTTCTGTAACTAATTTGAATTATTTTGCGGCAGCAGCCCTTGTCTGCAGGGGGTCTGAGCTCCCCATGGAGCAACCTCTGTCTGCGGGGAGCTTGGACCTTCCGTGGAACGCCTGCCTCTGGCACAGAGGCAGTGATGCGGAGCAGCAGGCAGCTGTTCTGTGCGGGGAGCTGGTTTTTAAACTGACTCCCACGTGCCACCCTGCGCTGCTGCCTCTGATACAGTGCGGGATAGCAGGGGGCTCCCTCGGGGGGGGAGGGGCTGGAGCGCGCTGGCTGCCAGCCCTGCCCCGGGAACTATCGAATAGTCTTGTAACCGCTAAGTTTTCATGAGTTTACACGACTATTCAATTACACTGGGGACACAATTCCAGATAGTGTATCCTACCTGTGCAAAAGTTTTGCATGTTCTTCATATCATGGTCATCTTTCTGACTCTTGCTGAAAGAAGCTAGTTTTGTTGGAACCCAGAAGATAAGAGTATGGAATGACTAATTATGTTGATCTTTGAGAGCAAAATGAGATTCTCTGTCTCCTTTAATCGATTGAATCTACATCAGGAAGTGAAATCCAATAAAACAGACATGGGATAAGTAATAATGAAGAAAGGTACCTGCTGTAGAAGTTGTTCATGGATAGAAATACCTTCTAGCCTCCTGCTGCTGAGCTTACCAGAGTTGCAGTGCTGCCCTTCCAAATTCACTATATTTATTATAAATCTTATTCATGAACACAATAACCTCAGACTTCCAAGAGCTACAACGAGATCCTACAACACTGGGTGAATGGGCACCATAAAATGGATTTCAGTGTTGATAAATGCAAAGTAATGCACATTGGAAAACATAATCCCAACTGTACATACAAAATGATGGGATCTAAATTAGCTGTTGCTGCTCCAGAAAGAGATCTTGAAGTCATTGTGGACAGTTCTTTGGAAACATCGGTTCAATGTGCAGCAGCAGCCAAAAAGCCAACAGAACATTGGGATTCATTAGGAAAGGGATCGCTAATAAAAAAGAAAGTATCATCAGAAAATAAATTCATGGTACGTCCACATCTTTGAATACTGTATGCAGATGTGATTGCTCCATCTCAGAAAAGATACTGAAATTGGAAAAGGCATAGAGAAGAGCAACAACAAATATTAGGGGTATGAAACAGCTTCTGTTTGAGAAGAGAGTAATAAAACTGGGATTTTTCATCTTGGAAAAGAGATGCCTAAGGAGGGCTGTGATACAGGTCTATAAAATCTTGACTGATGTACAAAAAGTGAATGAAGAAGAGTTAGTTACTCCTTCCCATAACACAAGATCCAGGGGACACCCAATGAAATGAACAGGCACCAGGTTTCAGACAAATGAGAAGTGTTTCTTCACACAACGCACAGTCAGCTCATGGAAATTGTTGCCAGAAGATGTGAAGGCCAAAACTGCAACAGGATGCAAAAAAGAACAAGCGGCGAGGAGTCCTGTGGCACCCTATAGACTAACTGAATAAGGTGCCACCGGACTCCTCGCCGCTTTTGCAGATTCAGACTAATATGGCTACCCCTCTGATAAAAAAGAACAAGATAAATTAGTGGCAGATAGGTCTATCAATGGCTGTTAGACACCCCATGCTCTGACTGTCTCTAGCCTCTGCCAGGAAGAGGGGGGTGGACACCTCTGTTTGCCAGAAAGAGGGGGAGGGCTCACTTGATGCTTGCCTGCACTGTTCATTCCCTCTGGGACACCTGGCAGCAGGCAGTGCTGGAAGACAGGCTCCTGGGCTAGCCGGGCTCAGTGTGGCCGTTCTGATGTTCTAGGCAGGCTGTGCTCATCTTCATTCTTCTGGTCCCCCATCTTCATTCCTTAGCTCAGTCCCCTGCCTCCTCCCTCAGCTTCAGTTACTGTGCTTGGCCTATGACCGGGGCATTAGACAAGAGCTCTGTTCCTTGTGCTTTCCCTCATATAGCCACAGGATCACTCCTGAAATTTCTTCCACGGCGTTCTCACCGCCAAGCCTCCAGCCAGCTGCTGTCATTGAGGTCACATGGCTAGACGAGGCTTTTCAGGCTGTGTTCATAACGAATTATGGGCTTGAAAAGCTCCCGGTTTCACTGCAAGTGCTCCATAGTACAGCCGGTCCCCGAGTTACGACCAAACCGCCCATAGAGCAGTCATAAAGGCAGTCCTCGACTTACAAACGCAACCCGCGCTTATGAACAGCGCGGTCACAGTGTAACCCAATGGGACCCGACTTCCGAGCGCTTTGAGTTACGGCCAAGTGTTTGGTCCATAACCCATTCGTAGCTTGGGGACCACCTAGTGGGCAATCTACAGCGACCCGGCTCAATGAAAGCCCTGCACAGGCTCAGTATGTGTGTCTCAGTGCTGGGTGAAAGAGCAAGCTCTTAGCAGCATGGGCGATTGGTGAAGGCCCCACCACTTTCCGGACCCCCATGGGGAGGCAGGGCAGCGTGCTGCGCGCACACTCTCCCCCGCCAACCACGGGAAGGGGAGTGGGCGGGCGTGCGTAGGCTCGCCCCAGCCTTTGGAGCGGGGGTGGGCAGCATGGCCCCAGCTCCAGAGGAGGGTGTGGGGCCTGGCCTGCCCCAGCCCAGCCTTGCCTCTCCAGCCCCGGAGCACCCAGGGAGGGAGGAGGGTGCGCCACACAGCGTGGTCCAGCCTCTCCAGCACCGGGGGAGGCCCCGCCGCTCGGATTGGCTCAGCCTCTCCAGCCCCAGAGCACCAGGGGAGGGAGGAGAATGCAGCCCGGCCCAGCCTCTTCAGCCCCGCAGAGAGCGCAGGGCGTGACCCCAGCTCCGGAGCACTGGGAGGGTGGACACAGGAGAGGAGGGGGGCAGCAACACTGTGCCCCCAGAACACCTACAGCAGGTGCTCTGGAGCCAGAGTGTGGGCAGGGCTATAGATGGGGGTAGTGTCTTCTCCTCCCTAACATACCGGGCGCCCCTGTCTAGCAGCAAACACAAGTTTGCTGTGGTACATCATCCCAATGGCTCACACGTGCTACCCACTAATAATATTCACTCTAATTTTTTCCAACCATGTGCAGAATAAATTTTGTTATGCCCACCAAGGCAAGTGTGGATGTGCACCATCAATAGAAACACATGCTGTCATCTGTGCGGCATTTCAGTCTCTCCTGAGTGTTCTCCAAGTGCTCAGCTTACAGGGGCCTACTAACTGTCCCCAGTTATGACTTTGCTAACAGTTGAAGTATTGCCTGTTCAAAGAAAGGTGCCTGACTGAAGATGTATCAGCCACTCTGGGTGGGGTTGAGAGGTTGGAAATGCAGACTGAAAGAAACCCAGTGCAATTGAAGTTACATTATCAGCCTCCCCTTCCAATCACTGCATTCGTGTGCAGGCTTGTGTTGCAACCCCGCTGTTAATCAAGCACAAAGTCAGGAAAGGGGCTTTATAGTTCCCCACTACAGATCAAGAGCCTTGCAAAACACAGTGGCCAAGTCTACACCAGGAATGTAAAGGGTTAACCAGCTTCAGGGGGGTAGCTGAGTTAGTCTGTAACTGGAAAACCTTTAAAAATCAACCAATAGTCTAGCAGCATCTTTAAAGACTAACAAAGCTCGGAGATGGTGTCATGAGCTTTCGTGTGTACAGCCCACTTCCTCAGAGTCCAGTTCCAAAATAAATAGGGGATGGCAGACGGGAGAAGGAAGGGGGTAGTGAGTTAGAATGTTCATGTTACATGACGCTGAGAGAGAAGGTGCAAATCGTTCTGAAGTGCCCATTGTGTGGTGTTGTACGTCATTGGATGTGGCAGGCAGTGTGCTGGCCAGGGAATGTCTTTATTCAGACCTTTCTGATGGGTTAAGTTCTAAGGCTTCCCCGTGTGTTTGGCTTGTGGAATTGACCTAGAATCATGGAATCATAGAACCATAGAGCTGGAAGAGACCTCAGAAGGTCGTCAAGTCCAGCCCCCTGTGCTAGGCAGGATCAATCCCAACTAAATCAACCCGGCCAGGGCTTTGTCAAGCTGAGACTTAAACACCTCTAGGGATGGAGATTCCACCCCCTCCCTAGAGAACCCAGCCCAGTGCTTCCCTCCTTCATCCAGTAGGGGCCGCGCACCCTCTCTGATCACCTTCTTCTTGTTAACATGCCTGTAGAAACCTTTCTTGTTATCCTTCTCATCCTTAGCCAGTCGCAATTCCAATTGTGCTTTCGCCTTCCTGATAACCCCCCGGCATTCTCGAGCTAGACATTTAAACTCCTCCCTGGTCATTTGTTCAAGTTTCCACTTTTTGTGCTTAAGTTCGCCAAGGATTTCCCCTGTAAGCCAATCCAGTCTCTTACCATGTTTGCCTCTCTTGCTACGCGTCGGGATGGTTTCTTTCTGTGCCTTCAGTAAGGCTTCTTTAAAATACTGGCAGCTGTCCTGGACTCCTTTCCCCTTCATGTTAGCATCCCAGGGGATTCTGCCCATCAGATCTCTGAGGGAGTCAAAATCTGCTTTTTTGAAGTCCAAGGTGTGCATTTTACTACTCTCTTTTCTTCCTTTGGTCAGGATCCTGAAATCTACCATCTCATGATCACTGCTTCCCAGGTTGTCACCCACCTCTACGTCCCCTATTAGTTCCTCCCTGTTTGTGAGCAGAAGGTCAAGCTGCGCACGGCCCCTGATCCATCCATCCATCCATCCATCCATCCATCCATCCATCCATCCAGGACACCAGAAATACCTGAGGTTTACACATGCACATTTCCAATACACAGTGATACCCTTCAGACTCACCACAGCCCCAAGGATCTTCTAAAAATTATCATCGTAGTGGCTGCCCACAAACAAGGGATACCCATATTCCCTATCGTGACAACTGTGTGATCAGAGCGACGAAGAGCCAAGAGGCCCACAAAGTGGTCTCCCTAGCCACGTCTCTGTTCCAGACTCTGGGAATACAAATAAACCTATCCAAATGCAAGCTCCAACCTGCTCAGGCTATAGAATTCATTGGAGCATATCTCAATTGTGTCTAGGCAACAGC